CTATGCGACCAGGTCCGAGACTCCAAGAGACTGAGGCGGATAATGCAGACCATTCTGTCGCTGGGGAATGCCCTCAACCAGGGCACTGCCAGCCAGGGGCTCTGCCGTGGGTTTTAAGCTCCCACCAACCACCCTAATCACTCTCCTCTCTCGTCCCTCTCTCCTCTCTCCCCTATGCGACCAGGTCCGAGACTCCAAGAGACTGAGGCGGATAATGCAGACCATTCTGTCGCTGGGGAATGCCCTCAACCAGGGCACTGCCAGCCAGGGGCTCTGCCGTGGGTTTTAAGCTCCCACCAACCACCCTAATCACTCTCCTCTCTCGTCCCTCTCTCCTCTCTCCCCTATGCGACCAGGTCCGAGACTCCAAGAGACTGAGGCGGATAATGCAGACCATTCTGTCGCTGGGGAATGCCCTCAACCAGGGCACTGCCAGCCAGGGGCTCTGCCGTGGGTTTTAAGCTCCCACCAACCACCCTAATCACTCTCCTCTCTCGTCCCTCTCTCCTCTCTCCCCTATGCGACCAGGTCCGAGACTCCAAGAAACTGAGGCGGATAATGCAGACCATTCTGTCGCTGGGGAATGCCCTCAACCAGGGCACTGCCAGCCAGGGGCTCTGCCGTGGGTTTTAAGCTCCCACCAACCACCCTAATCACTCTCCTCTCTCGTCCCTCTCTCCTCTCTCCCCTATGCGACCAGGTCCGAGACTCCAAGAGACTGAGGCGGATAATGCAGACCATTCTGTCGCTGGGGAATGCCCTCAACCAGGGCACTGCCAGCCAGGGGCTCTGCCGTGGGTTTTAAGCTCCCACCAACCACCCTAATCACTCTCCTCTCTCGTCCCTCTCTCCTCTCTCCCCTATGCGACCAGGTCCGAGACTCCAAGAGACTGAGGCGGATAATGCAGACCATTCTGTCGCTGGGGAATGCCCTCAACCAGGGCACTGCCAGCCAGGGGCTCTGCCGTGGGTTTTAAGCTCCCACCAACCACCCTAATCACTCTCCTCTCTCGTCCCTCTCTCCTCTCTCCCCTATGCGACCAGGTCCGAGACTCCAAGAGACTGAGGCGGATAATGCAGACCATTCTGTCGCTGGGGAATGCCCTCAACCAGGGCACTGCCAGCCAGGGGCTCTGCCGTGGGTTTTAAGCTCCCACCAACCACCCTAATCACTCTCCTCTCTCGTCCCTCTCTCCTCTCTCCCCTATGCGACCAGGTCCGAGACTCCAAGAGACTGAGGCGGATAATGCAGACCATTCTGTCGCTGGGGAATGCCCTCAACCAGGGCACTGCCAGCCAGGGGCTCTGCCGTGGGTTTTAAGCTCCCACCAACCACCCTAATCACTCTCCTCTCTCGTCCCTCTCTCCTCTCTCCCCTATGCGACCAGGTCCGAGACTCCAAGAGACTGAGGCGGATAATGCAGACCATTCTGTCGCTGGGGAATGCCCTCAACCAGGGCACTGCCAGCCAGGGGCTCTGCCGTGGGTTTTAAGCTCCCACCAACCACCCTAATCACTCTCCTCTCTCGTCCCTCTCTCCTCTCTCCCCTATGCGACCAGGTCCGAGACTCCAAGAGACTGAGGCGGATAATGCAGACCATTCTGTCGCTGGGGAATGCCCTCAACCAGGGCACTGCCAGCCAGGGGCTCTGCCGTGGGTTTTAAGCTCCCACCAACCACCCTAATCACTCTCCTCTCTCGTCCCTCTCTCCTCTCTCCCCTATGCGACCAGGTCCGAGACTCCAAGAGACTGAGGCGGATAATGCAGACCATTCTGTCGCTGGGGAATGCCCTCAACCAGGGCACTGCCAGCCAGGGGCTCTGCCGTGGGTTTTAAGCTCCCACCAACCACCCTAATCACTCTCCTCTCTCGTCCCTCTCTCCTCTCTCCCCTATGCGACCAGGTCCGAGACTCCAAGAAACTGAGGCGGATAATGCAGACCATTCTGTCGCTGGGGAATGCCCTCAACCAGGGCACTGCCAGCCAGGGGCTCTGCCGTGGGTTTTAAGCTCCCACCAACCACCCTAATCACTCTCCTCTCTCGTCCCTCTCTCCTCTCTCCCCTATGCGACCAGGTCCGAGACTCCAAGAGACTGAGGCGGATAATGCAGACCATTCTGTCGCTGGGGAATGCCCTCAACCAGGGCACTGCCAGCCAGGGGCTCTGCCGTGGGTTTTAAGCTCCCACCAACCACCCTAATCACTCTCCTCTCTCGTCCCTCTCTCCTCTCTCCCCTATGCGACCAGGTCCGAGACTCCAAGAGACTGAGGCGGATAATGCAGACCATTCTGTCGCTGGGGAATGCCCTCAACCAGGGCACTGCCAGCCAGGGGCTCTGCCGTGGGTTTTAAGCTCCCACCAACCACCCTAGTCACTCTCCTCTCTCGTCCCTCTCTCCTCTCTCCCCTATGCGACCAGGTCCGAGACTCCAAGAGACTGAGGCGGATAATGCAGACCATTCTGTCGCTGGGGAATGCCCTCAACCAGGGCACTGCCAGCCAGGGGCTCTGCCGTGGGTTTTAAGCTCCCACCAACCACCCTAATCACTCTCCTCTCTCGTCCCTCTCTCCTCTCTCCCCTATGCGACCAGGTCCGAGACTCCAAGAGACTGAGGCGGATAATGCAGACCATTCTGTCGCTGGGGAATGCCCTCAACCAGGGCACTGCCAGCCAGGGGCTCTGCCGTGGGTTTTAAGCTCCCACCAACCACCCTAATCACTCTCCTCTCTCGTCCCTCTCTCCTCTCTCCCCTATGCGACCAGGTCCGAGACCCCAAGAGACTGAGGCGGATAATGCAGACCATTCTGTCGCTGGGGAATGCCCTCAACCAGGGCACTGCCAGCCAGGGGCTCTGCCGTGGGTTTTAAGCTCCCACCAACCACCCTAATCACTCTCCTCTCTCGTCCCTCTCTCCTCTCTCCCCTATGCGACCAGGTCCGAGACTCCAAGAGACTGAGGCGGATAATGCAGACCATTCTGTCGCTGGGGAATGCCCTCAACCAGGGCACTGCCAGCCAGGGGCTCTGCCGTGGGTTTTAAGCTCCCACCAACCACCCTAATCACTCTCCTCTCTCGTCCCTCTCTCCTCTCTCCCCTATGCGACCAGGTCCGAGACTCCAAGAGACTGAGGCGGATAATGCAGACCATTCTGTCGCTGGGGAATGCCCTCAACCAGGGCACTGCCAGCCAGGGGCTCTGCCGTGGGTTTTAAGCTCCCACCAACCACCCTAATCACTCTCCTCTCTCGTCCCTCTCTCCTCTCTCCCCTATGCGACCAGGTCCGAGACTCCAAGAGACTGAGGCGGATAATGCAGACCATTCTGTCGCTGGGGAATGCCCTCAACCAGGGCACTGCCAGCCAGGGGCTCTGCCGTGGGTTTTAAGCTCCCACCAACCACCCTAATCACTCTCCTCTCTCGTCCCTCTCTCCTCTCTCCCCTATGCGACCAGGTCCGAGACTCCAAGAGACTGAGGCGGATAATGCAGACCATTCTGTCGCTGGGGAATGCCCTCAACCAGGGCACTGCCAGCCAGGGGCTCTGCCGTGGGTTTTAAGCTCCCACCAACCACCCTAATCACTCTCCTCTCTCGTCCCTCTCTCCTCTCTCCCCTATGCGACCAGGTCCGAGACTCCAAGAGACTGAGGCGGATAATGCAGACCATTCTGTCGTTGGGGAATGCCCTCAACCAGGGCACTGCCAGCCAGGGGCTCTGCCGTGGGTTTTAAGCTCCCACCAACCACCCTAATCACTCTCCTCTCTCGTCCCTCTCTCCTCTCTCCCCTATGCGACCAGGTCCGAGACTCCAAGAGACTGAGGCGGATAATGCAGACCATTCTGTCGCTGGGGAATGCCCTCAACCAGGGCACTGCCAGCCAGGGGCTCTGCCGTGGGTTTTAAGCTCCCACCAACCACCCTAATCACTCTCCTCTCTCGTCCCTCTCTCCTCTCTCCCCTATGCGACCAGGTCCGAGACTCCAAGAAACTGAGGCGGATAATGCAGACCATTCTGTCGCTGGGGAATGCCCTCAACCAGGGCACTGCCAGCCAGGGGCTCTGCCGTGGGTTTTAAGCTCCCACCAACCACCCTAATCACTCTCCTCTCTCGTCCCTCTCTCCTCTCTCCCCTATGCGACCAGGTCCGAGACTCCAAGAGACTGAGGCGGATAATGCAGACCATTCTGTCGCTGGGGAATGCCCTCAACCAGGGCACTGCCAGCCAGGGGCTCTGCCGTGGGTTTTAAGCTCCCACCAACCACCCTAATCACTCTCCTCTCTCGTCCCTCTCTCCTCTCTCCCCTATGCGACCAGGTCCGAGACTCCAAGAGACTGAGGCGGATAATGCAGACCATTCTGTCGCTGGGGAATGCCCTCAACCAGGGCACTGCCAGCCAGGGGCTCTGCCGTGGGTTTTAAGCTCCCACCAACCACCCTAATCACTCTCCTCTCTCGTCCCTCTCTCCTCTCTCCCCTATGCGACCAGGTCCGAGACTCCAAGAGACTGAGGCGGATAATGCAGACCATTCTGTCGTTGGGGAATGCCCTCAACCAGGGCACTGCCAGCCAGGGGCTCTGCCGTGGGTTTTCAGCTCCCACCAACCACCCTAATCACTCTCCTCTCTCGTCCCTCTCTCCTCTCTCCCCTATGCGACCAGGTCCGAGACTCCAAGAGACTGAGGCGGATAATGCAGACCATTCTGTCGCTGGGGAATGCCCTCAACCAGGGCACTGCCAGCCAGGGGCTCTGCCGTGGGTTTTAAGCTCCCACCAACCACCCTAATCACTCTCCTCTCTCGTCCCTCTCTCCTCTCTCCCCTATGCGACCAGGTCCGAGACTCCAAGAGACTGAGGCGGATAATGCAGACCATTCTGTCGCTGGGGAATGCCCTCAACCAGGGCACTGCCAGCCAGGGGCTCTGCCGTGGGTTTTAAGCTCCCACCAACCACCCTAATCACTCTCCTCTCTCGTCCCTCTCTCCTCTCTCCCCTATGCGACCAGGTCCGAGACTCCAAGAGACTGAGGCGGATAATGCAGACCATTCTGTCGCTGGGGAATGCCCTCAACCAGGGCACTGCCAGGGGCTCGGCTGTGGGGTTCAAGCTGGACAGTCTGCTGAAGCTCACGGACACCAAGACGCGCAACAACAAGATGACTCTCATGCACTATCTGGCGAAGGTGGGTGCTGTGCGGTGAAGCTGGGTGCTGAGGGGTCAAGGTGGGTGCAGTTGTGCTGGTAAAGTAAACCCTTAAGTGGGGTGGGTTTGCTTTCAAGCTGGACAGTCTGCTGAAGCTCACGGACACCAAGACGCGCAACAACAAGATGACTCTCATGCACTATCTGGCGAAGGTGGGTGCTGTGCGGTGAAGTTGGGTGCTGAGGGGTCAAGGTGGGTGCAGTTTGTAAGAAAACGTGAGGAAGAACCATTGAGTTGATTATGATAGATGGGGGTATACATAGTAGTGCTAAGGGGGGGGGGTTTCGTTGGAACCAAGCCAACATTATTGGCCCCCACCAATAAGTTGGGTTGAGGGAATATTGGGGGGACCAATAATGTTGACCAAGTGGTTCAACATTATTGGGGGGACCAATAATTCCCAACCCAACCTTGGGGGCCAAGGTTTGAGTTCCAACCCCCAACTAGGGTTAGCCCTAGTTCTACACCCATACTAAGTTTGGGTGGCTATCTCTAACCTAGGCTTATAGGATTGATGTAGGTTACAATGAGGATGGCAATCTGACACAACCCCTTAACCTACAGAAATCCATAAGCTTGGGAAGAGAGAGAGCAACAACCCCTGAATCAGCCACCGCGGGGAGCAAGTCCCTGGAGACGCAGAAGCGCAGAGTGGTCAGAGCGGTGGAGAGCCTTGGTGAAGAGATCGGCGAGGTTGTCGGAGGAGGCGATTTTGCGAACGGTGATGTGACCATCTTGGACAAGGTCGCGAACAAAGTAGTAGCGAAGCTCGAAGTGTTTAGAGCGACCATGAAAAACTGCTTCCTTGGTGAGGTGGATGGTACTGTCGTTGTCACACCACAATGTGGGGCGGGGCTGTGGAGAGCCAAGGTCGGTGAGCGGATAGCTGAGCCAACGTGCTTCTTGAGCCGCCATCGTGACCGCGTACAATTCGGCTTCGCAGGATGAGAGGGCAACGGAGGAGGAGCGGGTGGAGCGCCAACTGATGAGGCCGCCCCCGAGTGTGAAGCCATATCCTTGAGAGCTGCGACGGTTGGGCTGTGCGTCGGCCCAAGAGGAGTCGCTGAAGCCTTGAAGAATGGGCGGGTTCACACCACCCAGAGTGAGGACATGGTCCTTCGTGCCCTGAAGGTAGCGAAGAACACGCATGGCCGCCTTCCAATGCTCTTCACCATGCCTGCCGGTGCCAACGAACTGCGCCAGAATACTGACTGGGTATGCAAGGTCGGGACGAGTGCAGACCATGGCGTACATCAGGGCCCCAACAAGTTCTGCATAGGGGTGAGGGGAGGTGACGGGAGTGGTGGGAGGGGAGAGCCGATGCCCAAATGCAAGTGGTGTGGGGATGGGTTTGCAGGTTTTCATGCCAAACCTCTCAAGAATCTTCTCGATGTAAAAAGACTGAGAGAGGGTGATGGTCTTGGCAGTGAGGTTGCGAGTGATCTCCATGCCGAGGTAGTTGCGAACCTCCCCCAGGTCTTTGCAGGCAAGGCGTTTCTGCAGCTCATCCTTGACCTCCTGGAGTTCAGCAGCTGTGTCAGCGGCCAGCAGCATGTCGTCGACGTAGACGAGGATGAAGAAGGGTGATGGGGTGAGGCGCAGGAAGAGGCAGGAGGCGGCACGGGAGGGGCGAAAGCCCAGAGGTGAGGGGAGAGGGGGTGGGGGGGGAATGGTGTCAGTCCAGAGGAAGGGACGGGTGGTTAGAGGGAGGGGGTTAGGGGCTTTGGTGGAGGTGTAGTACGGGTGGGCTTCATCGAATTCCACATCCCGACTACGAATGAGGCGACCTGAGGGGGGATGGAGGAAGAGATAGTCCGGGGAGGAGGTGTTGTGACCAAGGAAAATGCAGGGGAGAGTGCGGGAGGCGAGCTTCCCAGCTTTGCGTGAGCGGTCGACAGGGTGTATGAGAACATACGCCATGGAACCCCACACGCGCAGGGGGGTGATGTCGGGCTTTTTGGATGTCCAGAGTGCGGTGGGAGTGGTGGTGGGCCGGGAGGGATGAGGGTACAAGTTAGTGAGGATGGCAGCGTGGAGGATGGCATAGCCCCAGAGAGAGGGCGGGCAGGAGGCATGGACCATGAGGCACCGAGCAATCTTGGTGACCTCACGGACCCTACTTTCCGCCACGCCATTCTGCTGAGGGGAATGAGGTAGGGTGTAGGTGTGAATAATGCCAGGAGTGGTGCAGTAGGATGAGAGCATGTTGTTAAGGAACTCACCACCGCCATCAGAGTGGAAGCGGGAGACAGGGCGTTTGAAATGGGTGCGTGCTTGTTCAGCCCAAGCAATAATAGCAGCCGGGGCCTCCGCCTTCGTGCGAGGGAGGGAGACGGAGGAGTAGCGGCTGTGGTCATCCACCAGGATGAGCAGGTATTTATGACCTTGCCTGGTGGGGGAAGGGTTGGGGCCCCAGAGGTCCATGTGGACGAGATCAAGAGGCTTGGGAGAAAAGGAGGGATGACTCTTGTGGGGGGCCTGTTTCAGTTTGCTTTCAACGCATACTGAGCAGGGAGGGGAGGGTGATGGGGGGAGAGAGGGAAGGGTGAGGGGGAGTCCGTCGAGGAGTTGGGTGGAGACAGTTTGACGGAGGGTGGCAAAGTTGGGATGACCCAACCTATGGTGAAGGAGAACTGCGGGGTGGGTGAGGTCACGACAGTGACAGGAGGAGGTGGGGGAGGGGGGGGGGGGGAAGGAGGGGAGGGGATGGGAGGAGGGGAGGGAAGGGGGAGGGGAGGTGAGGGGAGGGGAAGGGGTGAGGTGGGGGCGATGAGGTGGTGAATGGAGGTGCGAGGGGTGCGGTACGTGTACAGGTTTGTGCGAGGGCAGAGGGGAATGCGACAGATGAAGCGACCAGTGGTGGTGTGAAAGAGGTCGCAGTGGCGTGCATGACCGGGGAAGAGGGCGGTGATACCGAACCTGGTGAGGTCACACAGTGCTACCAGATTGTTGCGTAGGGAGGGGATGTATAGACCTGTGACTGTACCTGAGGGGAAGATGGGACAGGGGAGGGTGGAGGTGTGTCGACTTGTGATGGTGAAGCTGGAGTCAGCTCCGTGGATAGTGGAGGGGGTGGGGAGGGGTACCAGTGTGCCTGCATCGCGCAGAACAGTGTGTGTCGCTCCACTGTCAAGGATAAACTCAAGGCATGAAGAGGAGGAGGAAAAGGCGGAGTACTGGAAGAGAGACTCATTAATAGCATGGGCATACAGAGAATCAGCAGGAGCAGTGCTAACATGTCCTATGAATCCAGCAGAAGGGAACGGAGTAAAGCCAGGAGGGTTGGAGGAGGAGGAGGGCTGGTCAGCAAGATTAGCAGCAGGTCCAATAGGTCCATGACCATATCCAGGAGGTGGGTAAGGGGGGTAAGGCCAGCCAGCATAGGGTGGAGGGTAGTGAAGGGGGGGGGTTTGAGGCGGAGGTGTGGGTGGAGGAGGAGTGGGAGTGGGGGTGGATGAGAGGAGAAGATGCTGGACTTGCTGGAGGATGTGAGATGGGAGATGTTGAGTGAGGACATTGTGGAGGTTGGGGGTGGAGGGTTGATAGGCGGGGAGAGTGCGGATGTCATGGGGAGAGGGGCGTGGGAAAATAGTGTTCCAGCGAGGTGGGGTGCCAACATTGCCACGAGCAAACCATTCGTCAGTGAGGGCTTTGAAGCACGTGTCACTGGTATGAGTGGTCTGTGAGCATGGCTGACCTTTGTTGGAGCCATAGCGAATGATGTACTGACACGGGGGGAGGGTGCCCGAAGGTGAGAGGTGTCCGCCACGCCCACCACGGCCACCACCACGGCCACCACCACGTCCTCCTCCTCGCCCACCACCACGTCCACCTCCACCACTGCCAGTACCGCCGTGGCCGCCGCCTCCGCCGCTGTTCTGGTTGCTTGAGGGGGCTTTGCGAGTCTGTACTGCATTGATAGCGGTGGAGTCACGTTGAAGGTCGGCTTCGCTGTCAAGAAGCCACTCGATGGTGTCAGTCACAGGAGGAGGGTGGCGGTAGCGGGAGGTGAAGGTGATGCGGTATGTGTCATATGTGGGAGGGAGGCAGTCGAGGATGCGTGCAGTGAGGAGAGACTCAGAGATGACAATGCCTCGATCGTTGAGGCGTTGTGCAGTATCAATGAGGCGGCGGGTGTAGGCAGCAGCAGTGGGAGAGGAGTCAAGGGTGGTGTCTTGGAATTTGCGAAAGAGCGCAAGGAGGGAGCGAAGATCCTGTCGATCGTACTGAGTAGAGAGGGTTTTCCAGAGGCCAGAGGAGGAGGTGGGACGGAGGTCGCGTTTGAGGTGTGAGGGGATGCAGGAGAAGATGATGGCGAGTGCGCGGCGATCCGCAACACGCCAGGCTGCGACATCCTTGTGAAGTTTGCGTAGCTCCTCAGCATGATCCCTCTCATCTTTTTCGTACTGGAGGATGCGTGCAGCGGCGACAGCATGTGCTTCCTCAGCAACACGGTATGCTTCACGCTGGATGGTGTAGGTGTCACGTAGCTTGTTGTAGTTGTTCAAGTTGGCCGCCCAGCGATCCGGGTGATCATCATGAACTGGAGGATTGGGGGGGGGGTCAATAGGTTCTGGAAGTGGAGGGGCATCGGGGGGAGGGGGGTCAAGAGGAGGAGGGAGAACGGGTGGAAGGCCGTTAGAAGTTTCAAGGACTACGTCAAGGAGACAGTAGTCTTGGATGATGACAGAGCCAAGGTGGGTGTGGAGTGTATCCTCGAACGACACCCAGTTTACAGCAGTGGTATCATGAAGGAGCTCGAGCTTGTCGATAGCTCCGAGCTCAATGGGAGTAGAGTCGTCCGCCATGAGGGGGAGGAGGGGGGAGGGGGTGACGACACCGGCTGGAGGGCGGGTGCGGTCAATCGGGGTGACGACACCACCGGGAGGGGTGGTGCGGTCGAAGGGCTGCGCCTAGTCGCGTCGATCACGGTTGCGCCTGATCGCGTCGCCCACGGCTGTGTCAGGTCGCGTTGCCCGTGGTTGCGCTTGGTCGCGTCGCCCGCGGCGGTCGCCCCGCGGCGGTCGCCTCCGCTTGTCGCGTCCGCGGCGGTCGCCTCCGCTGGTCGCGTCCGCGGCGGTCGCCTCCGCTGGTCGCGTCCGCGGCGGTCGCCTCCGCTGGTCGCGTCCGCGGCGGTCGCCTCCGCTGGTCGCGTCCGCGGGGGTCGCCTCCGCTGGTCGCGTCCGCGGCGGTCGCCTCCGCTGGTCGCGTCCGCGGCGGTCGCCTCCGCTGGTCGCGTCCGCGGGGGTCGCCTCCGCTGGTCGCGTCCGCGGGGGTCGCCTCCGCTGGTCGCGTCCGCGGCGGTCGCCTCCGCTGGTCGCGTCCGCGGCGGTCGCCTCCGCTGGTCGCGTCCGCGGCGGTCGCCTCCGCTGGTCGCGTCCGCGGCGGTCGCCTCCGCTGGTCGCGTCCGCGGCGGTCGCCTCCGCTGGTCGCGTCCGCGGCGGTCGCCTCCGCTGGTCGCGTCCGCGGCGGTCGCCTCCGCTGGTCGCGTCCGCGGCAGTCGCCTCCGCTGGTCGCGTCCGCGGCGGTCGCCTCCGCTGGTCGCGTCCGCGGCGGTCGCCCGCGTTCGTCGCGTCCGCGGCGGTCGCCTCCGCTGGTCGCGTCCGCGGCGGTCGCCCGCGTTCGTCGCGTCCGCGGCGGTCGCCCGCGTTCGTCGCGTCCGCGGCGGTCGCCCGCGTTCGTCGCGTCCGCGGTGGTCGCCCGCGTTCGTCGCGTCCGCGGCAGTCGCCCGCGTTCGTCGCGTCCGCGGCGGTCGCCCGCGTTCGTGGCGTCCGCGGCGGTCGCCCGCGTTCGTCGCGTCCGCGGCGGTCGCCCGTGTTCGTCTTGTTCGCGACGGTCGCCCGTGTAACCCTAATCCGCGGCTAGCGCCCGCGTTCGTCGCGTTCGCGGCGGTCGCCCCCGATTAGGGTTTCGTCGATCGCGGTAGTCGTTCCGACGGTTAGCGTGCTCGCGAGAGAGAGGGGAGGGCCGTAAGTGGCGGAATTGACCTTAGGAAGGGGGGGGGAAGGGTGCTGAAAATTAAGCGTGGGGAGGGGGGCCGTGACGGCGTAGGAGCGCACTTGGCGCTAAGAGCGACCTAGTTGTCGCGTGAGGGAGGGGGGCGTGTTAAGGCACGCGGAGGTGTGGTTCTTAGGATCGAAGAAGGTGTGAGCCGTGTTTGCTCTGATTACCATGTGAGAAAACGTGAGGAAGAACCATTGAGTTGATTATGATAGATGGGGGTATACATATTAGTGCTAAAGGGGGGGGGTTTGGTTGGAACCAAGCCAACATTATTGGCCCCCACCAATAAGTTGGGTTGAGGGAATATTGGGGGGACCAATAATGTTGACCAAGTGGTTCAACATTATTGGGGGGACCAATAATTCCCAACCCAACCTTGGGGGCCAAGGTTTGAGTTCCAACCCCCAACTAGGGTTAGCCCTAGTTCTACACCCATACTAAGTTTGGGTGGCTATCTCTAACCTAGGCTTATAGGATTGATGTAGGTTACAATGAGGATGGCAATCTGACACAGTTGTGCTGGTAAAGTAAACCCTTAAGTGGGGTGGGTTTGCTTTCAAGCTGGACAGTCTGCTGAAGCTCACGGACACCAAGACGCGCAACAACAAGATGACTCTCATGCACTATCTGGCGAAGGTGGGTGCTGTGCGGTGAAGCTGGGTGCTGAGGGGTCAAGGTGGGTGCAGTTGTGCTGGTAAAGTAAACCCTTAAGTGGGGTGGGTTTGCTTTCAAGCTGGACAGTCTGCTGAAGCTCACGGACACCAAGACGCGCAACAACAAGATGACTCTCATGCACTATCTGGCGAAGGTGGGTGCTGTGCAGTGAAGCTGGGTGCTGAGGGGTCAAGGTGGGTGCAGTTGTGCTGGTAAAGTAAACCCTTAAGTGGGGTGGGTTTGCTTTCAAGCTGGACAGTCTGCTGAAGCTCACGGACACCAAGACGCGCAACAACAAGATGACTCTCATGCACTATCTGGCGAAGGTGGGTGCTGTGCGGTGAAGCTGGGTGCTGAGGGGTCAAGGTGGGTGCAGTTGTGCTGGTAAAGTAAACCCTTAAGTGGGGTGGGTTTGCTTTCAAGCTGGACAGTCTGCTGAAGCTCACGGACACCAAGACGCGCAACAACAAGATGACCCTCATGCACTACCTGGACAAGGTGGGCTGGTGCTGAGGGGTGAGGATGGGTGCTGAGGGGTGAAGGTGGGTGCTGTGCGGTGAAGATGGGTGCTAAGGGACGAGGGGCTCTGCGGTGGGGTTCAATCTGCTGAAGCTCACGGACACCAAGACGCGCAACAACAAGATGACTCTCATGCACTATCTGGCGAAGGTGGGTTGGTACTGAGGGGTGAGGATGGGTGCTGAGGGGTGAAGGTGGGTGCTGTGCGGTGATGATGGGTGCTGAGGGACGAGGGGCTCTGCCGTAAGGTTCAAGCTGGACAGTCTACTGAAGCTCACCGACACCAAGACTCAAAAGAACAAGATGACCCTCATGCTCTATCTCACCAAGGTGGGAGCTGCCGAGGCGCGAAGATTTTTTTTTTTTTTTTCCTAGTTGACTCAAGCGCTGCCGAGGGGCGAAAATTTCCTCTTTTTTTCCTGCCGTACTCTTTTCTTATTCTCCACACGTAATGTCCATCTATTTTCTCTTCCCTCAAACGGTCCTTCTCTCTCTATTTCGTCTGTGCAAAGCAAGCCCGCGCACGTGATAAGAGTGAAGTTTTGAGACGTCTCAAAACGGTCCTTCTCTCTCTATTTCGTCTGTGCAAAGCAAGCCCGTCCACGGAACCCTCCTCAGCTACCCTCAGCAGACAGACAGGTGTCTGTACCTTGTTTTGTTGTGTGCCCACCCAAGTGCAAGCAATAAGCTCTTCTGCTGATCATTTTCACAATTGAATGTACATTCTCCCTGCGAACCCTGCTTTTCTCTGTTTATTCTCTTCAGGTGCTCACTGAAAAGCTTCCCGAGCTCGCCTTGTTCTGGGAGGAGCTGCCGTCCCTTGAAGATGCCCACAAGGTGTGTCTTCCGAACCTGCCCACAAGGTGTGTCTCCCGAACCTGCCCACACCGTTTGTCTCCCGAACCTGCCAAACAGCACTTCAGCAGCACTAAGCTGAGCCATTGACCCACTATCGGGCTCCCCTCTTCTCTTCCCTCCCACCCGCTATCGTTCCGTGTCCTCTCTGCCCTCATTGTCTCCCCCCCCACCTCCCCTTCTCAGGTTCAAGTGAAGTAGCTAGGAGAGGAAATGCAGCAGCAGCTCAACAGAGGCACCACCGAAGCTGGAATTTGACCCTTTCTCTTCCCCTTCCCCCCTGCTCCCCTTACCACCCAAACCCCTTCCACCCCTTTCCCAACTTGCAGATCCAAGTGAAGTAGCTGGGAGAGGAAATGAGCCAGCTCAACAGCGGCACCACCAAGCTGGAGCGTTGACTTGACCCCCTGTCTGGTCTTTCTCTTCCCCCCACCCACTCGTACAACCTACACCCACATTCCTTCTCAGATCCAAGTGAAGCAGCTGGGAGAGGAAATGAGCCAGCTCAACAGCGGCACCACCAAGCTGGAGCGTTGACTTGACCCCCTGTCTGGTCTCCCTCTTCCTCCCACCCACTCGTACAACCTACACCCACATTCCTTCTCAGATCCAAGTGAAGCAGCTGGGAGAGGAAATGAGCCAGCTCAACAGCGGCACCACCAAGCTGGAGCGCGAAATGGTGGCATCAGAGAAGGACGGGCCTGTGTCTGAGAACTTCCGAGCGGTGAGGGGCAGTGGGAGGGGAAGGGGGGATGGGGGGGGAGAGAGGCGGGTACTCTGGGTGTGCTTGGGGAAGGAGTAGAGTAGGTGGCGACTTGTGACATGGTGGCATCAGAGAAGGACGGGCCTGTGTCTGAGAACTTCCGAGCGGTGGGTGGAGTGGGGAGGGAGGGGGGGGCTGGTGGGTGGTGTCATTTCAACTTGGAATGGTGGCTCGGAGAAGGATGGATCTGTGTCTGAGAACTTCCGAGCGGTGGGTGGAGTGGGGAGGGAGGGGGGGGGGTGGTGGGTGGTGTCATTTCAACTTGGAATGGTGGCTCGGAGAAGGATGGATCTGTGTCTGAGAACTTCCGAGCGGTGGGTGGAGTGGGGAGGGAGGGGGGGGGTGGTGGGTGGTGTCATTTCAACTTGGAATGGTGGCTCGGAGAAGGATGGATCTGTGTCTGAGAACTTCCGAGCGGTGGGTGGAGTGGGGAGGGAGGGGGGGGGGTGGTGGGTGGTGTCATTTCAACTTGGAATGATGGCTCGGAGAAGGATGGATCTGTGTCTGAGTACTTTCGAGCGGTGGGTGGAGTGGTGAGGGAGGGAGGGGGGAGGGGGGGTGGGGGGGGGGAGTAGGTAGTGGGTTTTTAGCGCGAGCTGGCAGCATCGAGCTGGTTGTTGAGAATTCTCAAAAACCAGCTGGGGGGGGAGTAGGTAGTGGGTTTGTAGTGGAGCTGGTGGCTTCGAAGCAGCAGGAGGGGCTGGTCTCAAAGAGCTCCCAAAAAGTGGCCAGACATGCATGCAGACATGCATGCAGACATACATGCAGACATACATGCAGACATGCATGCAGACATGCATGCAGACCTGCATGCAGACATGCATGCAGACACGCATGCAGACATGCATGCAGACATGCATGCAGACATGCATGCAGACATGCATGCAGACATGCATGCAGACATGCATGCAGACATGCATGCAGACATGCATGCAGACATGCATGCAGACATGCATGCAGACATGCATGCAGACATACATGCAGACATACCCATTCTACTCGACCGTTTATGGCCCCCCCTCCCACCCCCACCACCGCAGGCGCTGAAAGAGTTTGCAGAGGAAGCCACGTCAGGAGCCAAGAGGCTGGCTGCACTCTATGCTGACGTGGTGGGTTGACTGCCTTGACTGCCTTGACTGGGCTGACTGCCTTGATCGCCTTGACTCGCGTGCCTGTAGTGTCGGGTTTTTTTTGTTGCTTTTCTTCTTTACTGATTTCACTTCCGTTTTTTACTGAATGCTGATTGTTGGTAGTGTTTTCGTAATGCAGAGGTGTTTCAGAGCTTCCGTTTTTTCCCTATGGCACGCACAAACACTTAGTTGTTTCGTTGGAATTTAATTGAGAATAGTTCGCATTGCAATTCTTGTTCGTATGGGAGCTTTGTGGATGTGCCAACGTTTGCAGCTGTTGCCTTCTATGGGTGTGATGGTGTGTGGTGTGGTGTGGTATGGTGTGGTGTGGCGCTACTGGACTGGTGGTTCTGTATTATGGGTTATGGAGCTGTGTTGCATAACACACTTGGGCTTTTCTGCATGCATGGTGTTGCATGGTGTTGCATGGTGCTGCATGGTGCTGCATGGTGTTGCACGGTGTTGCATGGTGCTGCATGGTGCTGCATGGTGTTGCATGGTTTGCCATGGTGTTGCATGCATGGGGCGTGCATGTTGCTGCTCTGTATTACAGTCCAAGGCAACAGATGGGCTCTCAAGATACTTTGGAGAAGACCCAGCCAAGTGCCCCTTCGAACAAGGTGAGCTCTTTCACTCCTCCCTCCCTCCCTCCCTCCCTCCCTCCCTCCCTCCCTCCCTCCCTCCCTCCCTCCCTCCCTCCCTCCCTCCCTCCCTCCCTCCCTCCCTCCCTCCCTCCCTCCCTCCCTCCCTCCGTCCCTCCGTCCCTCCCTCCCTCCCTCCCTCCCTCCCTCCCTCCCTCCCTCCCTCCCTCCCTCCCTCCCTCCCTCCCTCCCTCCCTCCCTCCCTCCCTCCCTCCCTCCGTCCCTCCCTCCCTCCGTCCCTCCCTCCCTCCGTCCCTCCCTCCCTCCGTCCCTCCCTCCCTCCCTCCCTCCCTCCCTCCCTCCCTCCCTCCCTCCCTCCCTCCCTCCCTCCCTCCCTCCCTCCCTCCCTCCCTCCCTCCCTCCCTCCCTCCCTCCCTCCCTCCCTCCCTCCTGCCCTCTCCGTGTTCTATCTTGTAAGCCTACCAAGTAATCACACAATAACAATGCATAACGAACTACTTTTAAGGATGACCCAGCCAAGTGCCCTTTCGAACAAGGTGACTCTGCTCCTTCCTCCCTCCATCATTCCCTCCATCCTCCTCCCTCACATCCTCCGTCTCCTCCCTCTCTCTTGCTAACTTACCAAGTGATTGCACAATGAAAGCTCCCTACACAAATTCCCCTGTGATTGCACAGTTTCCACCGTTGTGCAAAATTTCGTGCAGCATTTGAAAAGTCTCAAGACGAGAACGTAAAGAGCAGTTGTCTATTCTCCTTCCGCCCTTCCCGACCTTAGCCACACTCCTCCTCCCGGCCTCAGTTGCCCTTGTCAACAGTTGTTGATTCTCCTTCCCCCCTTCGCATCTCCCCCTCCTTCCCTCCTTCCCTCCTTCCCTCCTTCCCTTCTTCCTGTCCTTACCTACTCCCCTCCTCCCCGCCTCAGTTGCCACCATGTGCACAATTTCGTGCAGTTTCTTAGAAAGTCTCAAGTCGAGAATAGAAGGAATTCCGAGGCAGAGATAAAGCGGATTTAGAAGACGGAGAAGGAGGAGGAGCTGGAAGAGAAGAACTCAGTTGTCGATTCTGTTTTCCCGTGTTCCCCTCCTTCCCGCCTTTCCCCCGTTTCCCTCCTCTTCCCGACCCCATCCCGCCTCAGTTGCTACCGTGCTTCACAATTTCGTGCAGTCGTTCAAAAAGTCTCAAGACGAGAACATAAAGAACGCGGAAGTGGAGATAAAGCGGATCGAGAAGGAGAAGAAGAAAGAGATTGAGGACCAAAAGAAGAAGGCACTGGAGGAGAAAAAGGCAGCTGAGAAGGCGGCGAAAGCAGCAAAGGAGAAAGCAGCACAGGAGGCGAAAGAAGCAAAGGAGAAGGAAGGGGGAGGGGGGGGAGGGGAGGAGGGAGCGGAGGGGGGAGAGGATGGGAAGAAGGATGGGGAGAAGGATGGGGAGAAGGATGGGGAGAAGGAAGGAGAGGGGAAGGAGGAGAAGAAGAAGGGGCCGGTTAATATGCTGGCTGCTATTAAGAAGCGCCACGTGGCAAATGATAATGATGATGATGAGGATGAGAAGAAGGATGAGAAGGAGGAGAAGAAGGATGAGAAAAAGGACGGTGGAGATGCAAAGAAGGATGAGAAAAAGGACGGTGGAGATGCAAAGAAGGATGAGAAAAAGGACGGTGGAGATGCAAAGAAGGATGAAAAGAAGAGTGGTGAGGGGAAGGAGGGAGCGAAGGAGGGAGGGAAGGAGGAGGCAGGGAAGGAATCGGAGGTGAGTGAGGTGGAATCAAGTAGTGATGACGACGATAGTGACAGTGAGGAGGACGAGGAGGAGGGGACAGGAGACAAGCCAGCAGACGGGGCAGCGGCAGCAGCAGGGGCATCGGGTGCAGCAGCGGCAGCAGGTGGTGCAAAGGAGGGAGACGCAGCAGCAGCAGGGGCGGCAGCAGGGGAGGAAGGGGCGAAGGAGGGTGGAAAGAAAAAAATGGTAAAGAAAGTGGTGAAGAAAGTCATTAAGAAAAAGAAAGCTGCCGAAGGGGAAGGGCCGGCTGAAGGGGAGGCGGGTGAGGGAAAGAAAAAGAAGGTGGTGAAGAAAAAAGTGGTCAAGAAGAAGGATGGGGCTGCAGGAGAGGGTGCGGATGGGGCAGAGGGAGGTGGGGAGAAGAAGACTGTAAAGAAGAAAGTTGTCAAGAAAAAGGTAGCAGCCGATGCGTCTGCTTGAGTGAGGGAAGAAAAAGAATGTGGTCTAGAAGAAGGATGGGGCTGCTGGGGAGAGTGCGGATGGGGCAGAGGGAGGGGGGGAGAAGAAGACTGTAAAGAAGAAAGTTGTCAAGAAAAAGGTAGCAGCCGATGCGTCTGCTTGAGTGAGGGAAGAAAAAGAATGTGGTCTAGAAGAAGGATGGGGCTGCTGGGGAGGGCGCGGATGGGGCGGAGGGAGGCGGGGAGAAGAAGACTGTTAAGAAGAAAGTTGTCAAGAAAAAGACAGCAGCCGATGTGTCCGCTTGAGTGGGCATGCCAGCAGCCCCAGCTGCTGCGGTGGCATCAACAGAGAGGGAAAAACAGGTGGTTGAATGTTTTTTGAGAATTCTCAAAAAACACTCGGTGGCATCAACAGAGAGGGAAAAACCGGTGGTTGAAAAGGAGGTGGTGGAGGAGGGTGAGGGAAAGAGCAGCAGCAGGAGCAGCAGCATCAGAAGCGGAGGAGGAGGAGGGGAGCAGCAGCAGATGTCTCTTCTGGAATGGGAATTTCAGGAGCCGGGAGCCGGAGCAGCAGCAGAAGCAGCAGAGAGGGAAGTGTTTGGGGGAGAGAGCGGGGTAAGCGGTTACAAGAAAACAGTCAAAGGAAGGAAGCAGATTTGAGGCGATTAAGACAATAAATGCAGAAAATGTCACCCACTTGAGCAGAGCAGCAGAACTCCGTACGCATCCCCCTCAAAGAAACACAGCAACATCGCATCCTGTGGCAAAACAGCCCAGCCATGGAATCACAGTGATTTGTTGTCTCCACGTCTGCTCCTCACAGTGATGTGCTGTTGGTGCGCTCTTCACACCACTTTGCAGCCTGCAGCAGTAAGCAGAGGAGTTAGTGCCATCAACAGTCACGGACTAAATAAAGTTTGGTGGAATAAGCAGCAAGCAGCAGCCTTGGCGATGGGTCAGGAGAGGGGCGTCAGGACTCGCGCAGATTCACCAGCGAAAGAGGAGTTGGTGGGTGAAGGATAGGTGTAGCGCCAGGAGTGGCTGATGAATACCTGTAGTGCCGTGTGGGGTTGATCATAGCTGTAGCCTGTAGGCTGGGGGTCGTGGGATGCTACGAGTTTCCTCAATCCTGGATAGAGGTATAGATGCAGCATCTGTAGGTGACATGACAGGCATAGGGGGGCTCCGAAAGAGGTGGCTGATACTGAAGAGTTATCCACGATGAGCCAGCGGCAGACACCAGCACGACAAAGATTCTGTTGCTGAGACACCAGCACCAGCCTGCTGGCAGAAGCAGTGGCAGCAGCTGGAGATGCATCGGGACGGCTTGCATCAGCTCGTGCATCGGCATGTGCTCGGCATGTGCTCGGCATGTGCTCGGCATGTGTCAGCATGCGCTCGGCGTGTCGTTGGCATGCGTCGGCATGTGCTTACTCCCACACCTGGTGAGCCTGTGTTTACGGCAACTTCCATTTCCCCCCTTCCCTTGCTCCTCCCGCCGTCTGCCACCCATCCCTTCTTTCCTGCCTGTCCCTCGCCTCTTAGCAACTGCAAGCTTGTTCTTTATTCCGAAGGCGCTACTAACTACTACAGGCACTGCTAAAGGCGTCAACATCTCTCTTCATTTCCTCCCATCCCCCTCCGTAATCCCCCCCTGTTCCTCTCCCCTGTTCCTCTCCACAGGACAGCTCAACATCAAACCAGCCCGGCCTCTGTTGTATATATGGCCAATGATAAGAACCTCTACTGTACATTTTCTTTAACGTATCGGGTAGACGCATTTTTCACGTAATTGTGGGTGGTGTTGCGGAGATATCAACGGGAGCTAGACTACGGGCTAGGCACGGGGTAGGAGGGATCTCTGCGTTCGTTCACTTAGTCGTTCTCTAACACTTGTGCGTTCACAGGGCAAAACTGCAAGAGTTTCACTAGCAAAAAAATTGAGAACAATGGTTGACAATGGCAAAGCAACACTGTCAACATCACGGGCTAGCATGCAAGCAGGTCGACTGCCAGCGTAGCACGGTCGATCGTGTTCCAGCACGACATGGTCGACCGCGCTCCATCAGTGCAAAATCGCGATCTGCCAACGCTGCAAGTCGACGGCGTGCCAACGCTGCAGCAAGGTGGCTGCACAGCGTTGCACCCACAGGACAGCAGCACACCCGCTTCGCAGGTGCTCGCAGTTGATTGGCGTGCTGTGCCTCGTCTGCACCTGATCCTCCAGGTCGACCTCGAGATACCACCACCGAGGTCGGCTTCGCCAAAACCACATGGGCGACCGTCGCACACCTCCGCAGAACTTCGTCGCCCGGGTAACTTGGTCGACCAGGCAACCACGCCTGGTCGCCCAGCCCAGTCGTACGCCGGCTACACCAGACCGGCGTCCCCAGAAGAGGTGTCCCAGCACCCAGGTCGACATCCAGACGCCTAGGTCGGTCTCCGGGTGCCCAAGACGCCGTGCAGACGCCCAGGTCGGCGTCTAGGCGCCCAGGTCGGCGTCCAGCCTCCCAGGACGCCGTCCAGGCGCCCATGTCGGAGTCCAGGCGCCCAGGTCGGCGTCCAGCCTCCCAGGACGCCGTCCAGGCGCCCAGGACGTCGTCCAGATGCCCAGGTCGGCGTCCAGGCGCCCAGGACGCCGTCTAGACGCCCAGGTCGGCGTCCAGCCTCCCAGGACGCCTTCCAGGCGCCCAGGTCGGCGTCCAGGCGCCCAGGACGCCGTCCAGGCGTCGGCGCCCTCCAGCTAGGCGCCCTCACTGCAACTGATCGGCTGCGCTCCCCGCACACCCGACTACGAAGTCGGCTCCGCCCAAGCGAGGACGGGGCCAACCACAACTCCCGTTGACACTCCCCTGCCGCGTTCACGCTTGGGCCCCCAGCCCACACGGCAGCACCACTCGGAGAATAGCCCGTCGACGTGCACCCAACACACAGCACGCCGGTCACCGCACCAGCCATGCAAGAGGGCATGGCACCTACTGCTGCACGTCGTTGTCACCGTCGCCCACGTCGACCAGGCGCACCTGGCCGATTGCAACGGAGCACCGGTTGAAGGCCGGGTAGTGCAGCGCCTTCGTCAGGAAGTCGGCTGGCTGCTCAGCGGTCGGGATGTACCTCAGTGAGAACTTCCCACGCTTCATCATGTGCTGCAGCCAGGCTTGTCGCCGTTCCATGTGCTTGAGGTTGCCCGTCAACCCCATGCCCTCGGCGACTGTGATGGCCGACTTGTTGTCCACCCGAAGGACAGTCGGCGTCCCGGCGTCCAGTTGCCGGAATTCTGCAAGAAGAAAACGAAGTCGACAATCCCTCCTTGCCGGCTTCTGTTGCCGCCACGTACTCCGACTCGGTCGACGACATTGTCGCGCACTTGATGCACTGGCTCGACCAGGAGACTGCGGCCCCTCCGTAGACAAACACGTAGCCGCTCGTGCTCGTCCGGTTCTGCTTGTCGCCGGCGTCGTCGGCGTCCACGTAGCCGACCAGCTTCAGCGACTCAAGTCCACCGCCAAACTCCAGGGCGGTGTCACGGGTGTTGGCGAGGTAGGCGAGGCAGCGGTCGACCTCACGCCAGTGCTGGTCGCTCCTCACCGTGAGGCCGCTCCCCGGCTTGCTGCAGGCAAAAGGCGATGTCCGGCCTCGTCGTTATCGCCGCAAACTGCAGCGAGCCGACCTTCTGCCGGTACTCCTCCTCCTGGCGCTCCTGTGCCTCTTCGTCCTCGAAGGTGAGCTCGGCATAGGCGTCGACCGAGACCGGCGTCTTCGGGGTGCGCCCAGTCTGCTCCTCGTCGAGAAAACGCCTACGAAGCTTGTCTGCATAGCCCTGCTGGTGGAGCCACAACTTCCTCGCCGACCTGTCGCGCACGATCTCTAGCCCGAGGTACTTCTGCACCGGCGAGATCTCCCGCAGCTCGAAGGCGGCCTCCAGCAGCTCCTTCAGCTCCTTCAGCATCTCGGCACTGCTGCTGGCGGCGAGAAGGTCGTCGACGTAGACCAGCACCCAACAGGCCACCTTGTCGACCTTGAAGTACAGAGCCTCATCGACCTGGATCTTCTTCCACCCGGCGCCGACCAGAGCGTCGTTGAGCCCCTTGTACCACAGTAGCGGCGACTGCTTCAGCCCGTACAGGCTCTTCAGCAGCTTACACACCCGGCCGCTCCCGTCACTGAAGTGGTCCGGCTGGTACATGTACAGCACCCGGTCGAGCTTGCTCTGCAGGAAGGCGTTCTTCATGTCGAGCTGCATCAGGTTGAGGTTGAGCACGGCGACGTTGCTGAGGAAGATCCTCAGCATGACATAGCTGCTCACTGGCGCGTACGTCTCGTCGTAGTCGGCGCCATACACCTGTGTGAAGCCCTTCACGACCAGCCTCGCCTTCTCGCGCTCGACGGTGTCGTCGATGCGGTACTTCGTCGTCAGCACCCACCGGTTCTTCATGATGTTCACCCCAGGTGGGCGTTCGACCAGCTCCCAGGTTCCCATGCTGATGAGGCTGCGGATTTCCTCCTCCATGGCGGCCTTCACTGCCTTGCCCTTCCAACTTGCCAAGACCTCCTTCACCGTCATCGTCGAGATGTCCCAGCGGTGCTCGGGGTCGGCGTGCATGTCGGGGTCGAGCTCTGGCAATTCTTCATCCTCTTCGGCGTCGTCGTACAGCTGGTCGTCGTTGACCTCGTCGTACACCGTGGTGAAGGCAGTCGGGACGAAGAAGTCAGGCGGCCTCCGAAGTCGGCCTGTCCTCCGTGGTCCGAATTCCACCACATTGCTGTCGGTGGACTCCTCGGCGTCCGTCTGCTCAGTTTCCTCTTCGCCGGTGTCACTGCCCTCAGCATCCTGCTGCACCACAGTTGGCGTCCCTGCCGACTTCTCGCCTGTGGTCGGCTCCCCTGTCGCCGACTGCTCTTTCGTCGACTTGGCTGCTGCCTGCTCCCCTGTCGGTTGGTGCCTTGCCGCTGCCACCTTCGCCGACTTCACCACCGTCGGCTTTACCTCAGCCTGCTCTTCTCCTGCCGGCGTCGACCTCACTCTCATGTCGACTTGCTGGGCGTCACGTCAGCCACCGGCGATGCTCTTGGCCGGCGCCACAGGCGACGCCCCACTGCTCCCCTCATCGCCGGAGGCCGACATGGTAGTCAGCCCACGCAGGTCGGCCACGAGGGGAGGGGCAGGGGGTGCAGGGGGAGGGGAAGGAGGACGGACGACCTCGGCGTCCTCATCAGCAAGCTCTCTGGCCTCGGCGAGCAGAGGCAGCGTCGCCGTCGAGGTGTCCGTCGGCGTTGTGGTCGACGTCCGTCCTGACGTCGGCCCGTGCTCCGACTTCCACAACTCCAACGACATGTTCACGTAGAACACCACGTCTGAAGTGGTGACCACCCGGTTGTCGGCGATGTCGAGGAGCTCCCAGCCCTTGCTCTCCTCCGACACGCCGAGGTGAAGGCCCCACCTGGCCTTCGGCTTCAGCTTCCCACCTCGCTGCTGCTCGAGGACCAAGAACTGCGCCATGCAGCCCCACACCCGTGCCAGCGACAAGTCGGGCTTCTTCCCGGTCAGCAGCTGGTATGGTGTCGTACCCGGCGGCAACGTCGACCTCTCCAGGCAGTTGCGGACCCAGACGGCCTGCCGCAGAGCAAGGTGCCACCAGTGGTGCTGCACGTAGACGATTCCCTTGCCGTTCACGAAGTCGGTGAACTGCTTCCCGAGGAATTCCCCTCCCCGGTCTGAGCGCAGCATCAATACCGACTTCTTCGTCTGTCGCTCAGCAACTGCCAGCCACTGCACGAACTCCTGCAGTGCATCCGACTTCTTGGCAACCGGCCTCACCCACACGTAGCGGGTCTTGCGGTCCTTTAGCAGCAAGAAGTAAAGGCTGCCGTCCTTGGCAGCTACACGGAACGGCCCACATAGGTCGATGTGCACGACTGCTAGCACGTCGTCAGCGTCGGAGCCTTGGTCGGGGAAGGTGTGTCGTGCCAGCTTCCCGCCGACACACGAGACACACGGTGAGTCAGCGCCAGACGCCGACTTGAGGTCCAGCCCAATGGCGACCTCGTGCTTCGCCGAGCTCCGGATGGTGTCCATGGCGACGTGTGCAAGCCTCGCATGCAGCCTGTCCGGCGTCGACTTCGTCGCCGAGACTATCGCCCTCAGGGCCACCACATCCGTCATGGGCGACGTCAACTTTGCCGAGCAAGGACGCAGGTCGGTGCAGAGGACCCGGCCAGTGTAGGACGCCCGACCAAGGACGTCCCCTGCCGCCGAGACGAGAAGCATCTCGTCGCCATCCTCCTGCAGCCTCACACCGTTCTCCTTCAGCTGGCCAGCCGACAGCAGGTTCGCGTGCACGCCCGGGACATAGAGCACGTCAGGGATCAGCACCTGCTTCCCGGCCTTCCCTTGCAAGGCGACCGTGCCCCGACCCTGGACGTCCTACAGAGCCCCGTTGAAGCCACGCACGTGCTTCACGGCACCGCTCGGCTGCAGGTCGACGAAGACCTCCTTCATCCCCATCAAGTGGTGGGAGCAACCACTATCGAGCAGGACTACTTCCGGGTTTGCCTGCACGGCTGCCTCCATCGCCTGGAAGTCCTCGCCAGCCTCCGGCGCCAACGAGACAGTTGGCTCCACGACGCCGACCAGCGAGCACGACGCCTCCTTGTCGTCTCGCCTTTTGCCGCCAGCAGAGGAGTCGGCGTCCTTCGCCGAGGTCGACGACTTGGTCGACTGCTTCTCCTTACGCGGCTGGTTTCTGCCTCGACGGGGACGACGGCTGCCAGACCTCCCGCGGCCTCCCTTGGCGTCGTCGTCGTCGGAGTCACTGCGGTCGGGGCATTCAAAGGAAAGGTGGTCGGGGTCGCCGCACAGCCAGCACTCCCGACGTCGACTTCCTCCTCCACGACCGCTCTCCTTGGCCGACTTCTTCTTGTCGACTTCCTTGTTTGACTTCCAGCCACTGCTACTACCGCCGCTAGACTGCCCACGTTGCCCAGGTCGACTACCTTGCTTCACTGGGGCGACGTAGTTCACCTGCGCCAGGAGCTCCGAGGGCCGCTCAGCTTCCTGCATCGCCTCATCCTGCAGGATGTACGAGGTAAGAGAATCCTCGTTGAGTGTCGCCCTAGTACTCGGCGCCAACGACACTCGTTTCAGCAAGTTGTAGTTGCTCGTAAGCCCTTTGATAACGTGCGTGAGGTACGACGCCGTCGAGTAGTGCATGCCGGCCATCCTCATGGTGGCGAGAATTCGCCGAGCCCGGTTGCAGTAGCCGGTCGCCGTCTCCTCTTCGCCCATCTGTATGTGCGACAGCTGCTCCTCAAGTTGGCCGATGTACAGGTCGTCGGTGACCTGGTACGTCGACTCGATGAAGTGCCATGCCCGGTGGCCGGCGTCGAGGTACTCCCTGCACGACTTCAAGGCAATCTGAACGCCCGGCGAGCAGCACCGTGAGATGACCGTGAAGGTCAGCAACTGCACGGCGCGAAACTCTGCATGCAAGTCGGGGTAGTGTTCCTCCGACGTCGCCATAGTGCCCCTGTCGAAGCCGATCAGCCCGGCCATCTCCAGTTGGGGCTCGATGGCTTCCTTCCAGGTGAGGATATCAGGTCGACCAACAAGCAGAGGGGTGACCGAGATCCTGTCCGGCGTAAACTTGAAGTAGCCGTAGCTCGGTGAAATCCCTCCAGCTGTCACGTGGGTCGCCGACATCGGCGACTGACTGCTTCGTCGACCTCCAACGTCGCCTTGTGAGGTGCCTGCAGCCGCCGACGACCGCATCCCTCGCCCCTGAACGCCGCCGACTTCATCGGCGTGTATCACACCTCGCTGCCTCGACGTGCCTCCCGCGCTGCTGCCGACTTGGTCACCACTGGCGTTGACTCCCAAGTCGACGCCGTCCTCGTTGTTCACCGGCCGGGGAGAAGCTGGTCGAGCAGGGTGCTCTTCCGCCCACACCGAGCAGATGTCTGCCTCGATGACCGTCAACGGTAGATTTGGCCCGTACTCGTTGGCCTCATGGCGTCTCCTCGCGTCCTCCAGCCGTGCCTCCAGGGTGTCCACCACCCCTGCGTCACCTACGGCGCCTACCATAGTGACTACCGCACAGCTGCCGGCCTACAAACACGAATTAGGTAAGTCACCACTACGTCGACCTGACTGAAGGGGTAAGTCGTGTGCCGTCCACGCTCACCGCACCATGCGGAGATAACTCTATCAACGGGAGCTAGACTATAGGCTAGGCACGAGGTAGGAGGGATCTCTGCGTTCGTTCACTTAGTCGCTCTCTAGCACTTGTGCGTTCATAGGGCAAAACTGCAAGAGTTTCACTAGCAAAAAGTTGAGAACAATGGTTGACCCGCTGCGCAGGTGCTCGCAGTTGATTGGCGTGCTGTGCCTCGTCACCTGCACAGCGCAGACGCCAAGTCGACCACATGCCCACGTCTGCACCTGATCCTCCAGGTCGACCTCGGGATACCACCACCGAGGTCGGCTTCGTCAAAACCACATGGGCCACTGTCGCACACCTCCGCAGAACTTCGTTGCCCGGGTAACTTGGTCGACCAAGCAACCACGCCTGGTCGCCCAGCCCATTCGTACGCCGGCTACACCAGACCGGCGTCCCCAGAAGAGGTGTCCCAGCACCCAGGTCGACGTCCAGACGCCTAGGTCGGCCTCCGGGTGCCCAAGACGCCGTGCAGACGCCCAGGTCGGCGTCCAGGCGCCCAGGTCGGCGTTCGGCCTCCCCGGACGCCGTCCAGGCGCCCAGGACGCCGTCCAGATGCCTAGGTCGGCGTCCAGACGCCCAGGACGCCGTCTAGACGCCCAGGTCGGCGTCCAGCCTCCCAGGACGCCTTCCAGGCGCCCAGGTCGGCGTCCAGGCGCCCAGGACGCCGTCCAGGCGCCCATGACGGCGTCATCCTACTCGGCGCCCTCCAGCTAGGCGCCCTCACTGCAACTGATCGGCTGCGCTCCCCGCACACCCGACTACGAAGTCGGCTCCGCCCAAGCGAGGACGGGGCCAACCACAACTCCCGTTGACAGTGTTGGGCCAGTGCATGGCACAAACGCATTTCCACAGCGGAGTGAACATGAGTGGCTATTCAAATGTGATGATAACCCTGTCTTGGGTAGCTGCTGCTGAATGCAAGTTTCCTGTGTTTTGAAGCAAATACAATCACAGCAGCACCCATACCCTAATCACAACAACCTCCTATTTTCTAATCACAGAGCAAAAGCTCTTGCTGGATCATGTGGTCTGCTCCAGTCTGCTCCGGTCTAATCGAATCCAGAAAGGACCTGAACAGATTCTTCTGAAGGGAAGTCGTTGTAAGCGCATAGTCAACACTTAAAACCCGCGGACCAAGAAGTTCAACCTTAGGAAGGTTGGTTGGGGCGAGCAATGCAATTGGCCAAGACTTTGGGTGCCATGATCACACTCAACCGTAGTTAGGAAGCTTGAACCAATTTGGGCTTTCTTGGCCCGCGGGTTTTACGCTGGTTACTGTGCAGCCTGTGCTGGTGCTTGTAGCTGTGGCTGTGCCTGCACCAGAGAAGCACCAGCAGCCCTGGTAGCAGGTTGCAAGGACTCCCACGAGTGTGCTGACTGCCGCATGATGGAACCTGCACGGCCCTGAAGTCTTGAAGTACCGTATCCAGTTGAAATTTACACTGCTTGCTGTGCTGGTGCTTGTAGGTGTGGATGTGACTGCTGCAGGGCAGCACCCGCAGCCCTGATAGCAGGTTGCAGGGATTCCCACGAGTGCGCTGACTGTCGCATGATGCGAACTGCACGGCCCGGAAATCCTGGAACATGCGGTCGAAATCCGCTGCCATCTCCACGTGGCAGCGCTGCAGCTCGCCACCTAGGCGCTGCGCCACGTCAGCGTGCTCCTTCTTGGCATCTTCCAGCTTGCGACTCACCTGGGGATATTATAGGCGGGATGGGGGATGGTGGGGGGGGGCGGGGAGGAGGAGAGGGGTGGGGGGGGGGAGAGGAGGAGAGGGGGGGGGTGCAGGATGTATTAAATCCGCATCTGACATGTGAGCATCCAACACAAACATATGTACACAGACAGATGTGCGCATTGCATTTGACACGTGCATGCATGCATCATTGAGCAGGTGCGCATGACTGTAACATTGCTGCATGCCTCTCAGACAGTGCTCCAGACACGCCCCAGAACCTCTCTAACTGCACTCACATCTGCAATCTCCTTCTCAATCTCTTCGATCTTCTCCTGCTTCATTGACGTTGCTTGCGCTCTATGCCTGCGCACGCAGGGAGAACACGCAACAACAAGATGATTCTCAAGTCGACTCAATCGTAAAAACAAATGCCGAGGTGGCGTTTGAGTCGACTCGAAAGTCACCTCGCAACAACAAGATGATTCTGAAGTATGCGGCCTGACAGTCTAGGGTGCCCTGCCCTGCACTGCACTTCACCCTCGTCGACTGGGCCATGCAACCGTCTCTTAACCATAACCCCTTCGGGCCCACACTCTTAGCTTCTCCTCCACACTCACTATCTCCCCTCTCAACTCACAGCTTGCCCTTCTTGGCTTTGAGGTCTGCCTCCAGCTGGTTCAGATTGCGACACTCACCCATCAGCCCCTACACACTTACACCTTGTTACAACATGCCCTTTCCCTTTACCTCTGTAAGCCATCAGCACTCACAGTTTGCCCTTCTTGGCTTTGAGGTCTGCCTCCAGCTGGTTCAGGTTGCGCCATGCCAGGGAGCGGTCTGAGATGGCTTTCTGCACAGGGAGAGGTTCAGAGGGATGGGAAGAGATGCATAGAGTCAGCCTCCAAGGTTTCATCATTCATGCGTTAAAAAAAAACATGTTTTTGAGAAAAAGGTGGAGCAGAGTCTTAAACAAACGCATGTAGAGAAACAGCAATCGGTAAGGAAATAAAGAGTTGGAAGCAAACTAGAAAGAAAGCAGAGCAGAGATTTCATTCCAGGAAAAAAACAGCACTGACCTTAAGTGAAGTAACAAACCGGACATACTCCCTAAGAGGTTCTTCAAGGTTCTCTAAAAACACTTGTGCCTGCACATACAAAAACATATTGAAGCAAAATAGGGCACATCAAATGTCACAGACTCACAGAGATCTAACTGAATGCAGCTATTGTTGCAACTCAGAAGGATAGGCATTGTTGCAATTCGTCTGTTGGTCCAGCTGTTGGTAGTGGCCTAGTTAGATAGGCCCTACTTTTGCTCATGTCTTGGCCTAGTGGCTGACCCACAAGGAAAGAGGAGAGGTCCCATGGGACATGTGCATTATACGAGTCGCACATGTGACTTCTGAGGATTCTCAAAAGTGAGCCCAACATGCATAACATGAGAGATGTACCTTTGAGGCGCCGCAAAAAGAGGAGAGGTTGCACATGTGTGTGTGCAGCACACAACACAAAGAAAGTTAGTCTTGATGTGCATTGTGGCAGCACCAGCGTCACTCACTCACATTGTTACTCATTGCAGAGGACACCCACAGTATCCATCCATCCATGGATACATACATTGTTATGCATTTTGAGGCGCCTCAAAATACACCTCAATGTTTTGAGGCACCTCAAAATACACCTCAGAGCCCACAGTATCCATCAATGGATACATACGTTGTTATGCACGATACATCTATTGCACTGCAAAGCACAACACGAAAACTGTATTTAATGTAATGCATAGCAGCAGCACCAATGCGACTGACTCACATTGTTCCGCGTGGCAGAGCCCACTATATCCGCCTTGTTGCCAACCTCACTAAAGCACTTCCCCAGCGGCCCCTCCTCCCACTGCCCCAGCGACTGCAGCGCCACTCCAAACTCACACATGGACGCCCCTAGCTCTGCTCACATGTGGTAGCGAAAGGGGGAGGGGGAGGTGGAGGGAATGGGGAGGGGATGGGGATTAGAACGAGAAAACGGCCCCTCCTCCCACTGCCCCAGCGACTGCAGCGCCACTCCAAACTCGCACATGGAAGCCCCCAGCTCTGCTCACATGTGGTGGTGGTGGTGGTGGGGTGCGGGCAGGAAAAGAGAAAAAGGAGAAGGGAAAAAAACGAAGAGGAGGTATTTTTTTTGTACTTCAAGAGCATTGCCACTTTAAACTCGCATGCCCTAAGCTTTGTGCACACGTGGTGGTGTGGTGGTGAGGGGGGATGATGGGGAAGGGGGGGAGGTGGCTTGAGTTATGCCTTCAGAACATCCGCATACCACCTCACACGCTCCGTCTCCGCCTCCTCAGTTGCCCAGCACACTTCCTGCTTCACCTCTCGCACCCACTCACCTCTCTTCTTCCCCTCCCCTCATCCACTCACCTCTCTCCTCCCAAAACCATCCCTGCCCCATCCCCCACCTCCCCCCCCTCTCCACCCACCCACCTCGCTGCTTCTTCACAAATTGCAACGCGTCCCTACGGCAGTCAGAAAGGGCCTTCTCCAGGGCGTCGGCATACCGCCTCACTCGCTCCGTCTCCGCCTCCCCAGTTGCACGGCTCTGCATGCCTGCACGCCCATCACACCCTGCCACCCGCTTTCACCCACCTCGCTGTTTCTTCACGAACTGCAGCGCGTCCCTATGGCAGTCCGTAAGGGCCTTCTCCAGGGCATCAGCGTACCGCCTCACTCGCTCTGTCTCCGCCTCCTCCGTAACCTCCTCCCGCCCCAGCACAGCGCTCGCCAGGGTGGTCTGCACGCTGGAGAAGAGGCTCAGGAAGTCGCTGGGCTTGGCTCCTAGTAACTTTGATTCGGAAGTCTTTCGCATTTCCATGGTCTGGAAGGAGAGGAGATGGGAGGGAAATGGGAACGACAGGGTGAGTGCGCCGCCTCCTCCCTCCCCAGCACAGCGCTCGCCAGGGTGGTCTGCACGCTGGAGAAGAGGCTCAGGAAATTGCTGGGCTTGGCTCCTAGTAACTTTGATTCAGACGTCTTGCGCATTTCCATGGTCTGGCGGGGGAGGAGATGGGAAGGGAAAGGGTGAGAGCATGGTGGGTGGTCTGCACGCTGGGAGGCTCAGGAAGTCGCTGGTTGGCTCCTAATAGCTTCGACTCAGATGCCTTGCGCATCTCCATGGTCTGGTGAGAGATGTGAAAGAAGGGAGATGGGAGAAAGAGCGAAAGAAGGGGGGCGAAACGGGGAGAAGGGGCTGGGTGTTAGCAGCAGGTGCTGGGTGTTCTGAGCCTCCGCCGCCTCCTCCCTCCCCAGCACAGCGCTCGCCAGGGTGGTCTGGACGCTGGAGAAGAGGCTCAGGAAGTCGCCGGGCTTGGCTCCTAATATTTTAGATTCAGATGTTTTGCGCATCTCCATAGTCTGGTGAGAGAAAAAGGGAGATGGGAGGAGGGGAAGAAGAGGGATGAAGGAGCTGGGTGGTAGCAGCAGGGGCTTTTCTTTTCTGACAACCCACCCATCGGTCCTCGCTGTCTTTGAGAAAGTGCTGCAGCTCCTCCGCGCCTCCCAGAACGGGGTGCTGCGCCACACCCAGCACACTAAACCTCCTCCTCCAACCCACCTGCTGCCCCACTCAAATCCCCCCCCAAACCCACCAACCCACCCACCCATCGGTCCTCGCTGTCTTTGAGAAAGTGCTGCAGCTCCTCCGCGCCTCCCAGAACGGGGTGCTGCGCCACACCCAGCACACTAAACCTCCTCCTCCAACCCACCTGCTGCCCCACTCAAATCCCCCCCCAAACCCACCAACCCACCCACCCATCGGTCCTCGCTGTCTTTGAGAAAGTGCTGCAGCTCCTCCGCGCCTCCCAGCACCGGGTGCCGGGCCACGCGCCTGACAAACGTCTCCAGCCCCCTCCGCCTGCTCTCCACAAACTCGCGGCTGAACCGAAACTTCTCTGTGCCGCCACCACAACCAGAGGGAGAAGGGGAAATAAAAATGGGAGAAGGGGGGAAAGGGGGAGAAGGGAGGGGGAACGAAGGGGGAGAGGGGTAGAGAGTAGAGTGGAGATGGTGAGGGTGATCCTGCTTGCAACGGCCGCGCTCCCTGTTGGTTGGTGGGTGCCGGGCCACGCGCCTGACAAACGTCTCCAGCCCCCTCCGCCTGCTCTCCACAAACTCCCGGCTGAACCGAAACTTCTCTGCACCGACACCATCAGACGAGAAGGGAGGAACGGAAGAAGGGGGAAGGGGAGGAAGACGAGGGGGTGGGGGGGGAGGGGGAGAAGATGGAGGGGTGGGGTATAGCGCAGTGAGAACATAGATTGAGTAGCGAATCTACATCCAAGAATTGAGCAAGAGAGTACCACCACACCACACCACACCACACCCCATCCCAACCCTAGCTCACAGCACCTCGGGTACCCCAACCGCAGCAGCTTGACTTGCTCGCCTTAAGTTCACTCACCCACAACGTTTTTATCAGGCAGGGGCGGCACGATGGCTCCCCTGTGCAGATCCCCCAGGCGGTCATACAGCCACTCGAAGTCGGAGAACCGGCGAATCACGTACACCTCGCCATCCGACGCAGGCGACTAGGGTTACCCGTTTCGCCAAGATTCACACCAGGGTTGGGGAAATGGGGAGGGAGAGGAAAGGAAAGTGATGCGCGATGAGTTTCGAATCATCTCGATTAAGAACCTTTAGAATGGAAACACGGGAACGTCTCTCGGAAAGAACGATAGACTGAAGAAGAACGGAACGGAATCCGGGAAACGAGCAACTCAGCATCTCGTACCTTGGTGGTGACTCGATAAGACGTGTACGCGTTAACGCCATCGCCCTGCTTAACGGGATCCGTGACGATTATTTCTAACGGTCCTCCGTCCGCTCCACCCCCGCCTGATCGAAAACCGGCTCCCATCGCTGCTGCTCCGCCATCCATGCTAGATTCTGTTCGTATCTGAGATGGGTCGTGATTGAAATTTCTTGAAAAATACTACAATCTTATTGCGACAGTGATGTTCCTGGGTCGTATTTGAATACGAATCCAAATTTAAGTCAGTGCCAACGGTTCCTGGCTAGTGTTTTAGCGTTCAAACAAACGTCGCCAATCTAGAAGTGTCAAAATCAAGGATTCCTGGGTCGCAATTATGTTTTCCCTCGGGAGACACCTTTAATGAGTGGTAGGCGTAGTCCCCTCACAGACCTTCAAGAAACAGACGAGACGGCGAACAGCTCAGTTACAGAGGAAAAAAAAAAAACAAGATTCAGAGACGCCACAGCAAAGTGCTTAGCACTCAAAAACAACCCTAAAAGGAAATGATGATAATCCAACGCGGACAGCTGTAATTGGCCCATATATTTTAGAAAGCATCCCCACCCAACCATCACTCCTGCCGCCCCTTTGCCTCCCGCTGCCTCTGCTGCTCCCCCAGCTGTTGCAGCTGCAGTGTCCATCTGACCCTCTTCCTCCATCCACTCTAGCTGTTGCTTCTTAGCCTGTTTCATCTCTAACTGTCAACCACCCCACTGCTCAATCCCAGCAGCTGCCTCTGCCGCTCCACCTCGGCCTCTAGCTGTCTCTGCTGCTCCTCCAGCTGTTGCAGCTGCAGCTGCAGCAAGCGCTTCTCCTCCTCTACCTTATCCAGCTTCTCCTGCTGCCCCTGCTCCTTCTCACCCTCCTTGCCTCCTTGCTCCCCTTCTGCCTGCTCATCCCTCCCATCCTCCTCCTCCTCGCTATCACTGCCTGCGTCAATCAAGAGAGTTCGCACGCCTTTCCCGTCCTTACCCGCACGCCTTGACCCACCCTCCTCCTTTGGCTTGATTCGCCCCTCAGTGCTGCCATTCCTGCCCTCCTTCACACCCAGATCGTCCAACCCAGACGCACCGATGCCACACCCCTCCTCCCCACTTCCACTCCCCTTCCTCCGCCTCCTCTCCTCCCTCTTCCTCCCCTCCCCATCCCCCTCATTTATCGTCCTGGTTCGCGACCAAGACCGCCCCATCTCCCCTCCCTCCCTCCCCTTTCCCCCCTCCAGTTCCTCCTCTCCCGCGCTACCTTTCCTCCTCCTCTCCTCCCTCTTCCTCGCCTGCCCATCTCCCTCATTCAGAGTCTTGGTTCGAGACCAAGACCGCCCCAACTCCCCACCCTCTCTCCCCTCCTGTTCCTCATCTCCCCCATTACTCCCCTTCCTCCTCCTCTCCTCCCTCTTCCTCGCCTCCCCATCTCCCTCATTTATCGTCCTAGTCCGGGACCAAGACCGGCCCATCTCCCCTCCCTCCCTCCCCTTCCCCCCTTCCTCCTCCTCCTCTCCTACCCCCTCCTCCTTCCGCCGCTTCTCCTCCTTCCTCTTCCGCTCCTCCCCATCTCTCTCATTCATCGTCTTGGTTCGAGACCAGAGCGAGCGAACGTCAGGCGCGAATCGGAAGCTGCTCAGGCTCCCAAAGAAAGAGCCCTCGCGAATGCTTCTAGGAGACTTGCAAGGCAGCCCATCGGAAGTAGCAGCAGAGGAAGGATCAGCATTCCAATCGGTGTTGGTATCCGCAAACACACGAGTCGCCTTTAGAGGCATCTCGGCCTTCTCCCTCCTCCCACTCCCTTTGCTCCCGCCCTTCTTCCCCCCGTCCTTCTCCTTCTTCTCCCTTGCCTTATCTTCCTTTCCTCTCCTCTTCCTCTCCCCCTCCCTCTCCCCCTCATCCTCCGTCTTCCCACCGTCCTCCCTCCCCACCTCCCCCAACCTACTTTTCCGATTGCTCCCAACCTCCTTTCTAGCAGAACCAGTCTCTGCTGCACCTGCCTTCCTTCCACTCCCACTCCCTCTTCTCCCACTCCCCTGTGTCTGGTCCGCACCTATTCTCCTCAAATCCTCACCCTGAGAACCCACCTTCCTATGCTTCGCACGCTCCTTCTCACGCTCCTTCTCACTCTCCTTCGCACTCTCCTTCACACACACCTCCTCCTCGTCCGTGTCATCATCTTCCAGTCTCCGCTGCAGCTTACTCACCTTGCGCCTCTCCTTAGGACTCTCCTCCTTCGCCTCCTTCACTCCCTTCTTCTCCTCCTCCTCCTTCTCCTCCTCTCCCCCCTTCGTATCCTGCCCCTTCACCATGTCCTTTTCCTCCTCCTTCTCCGCCCCCTCCTCCTCCTTTGCTTGCTTCTCCTCCTGCTCCATATCACTACTGGCCTTGGACCTCCTCCCATCCCACTCAAAATCCCCACTCCCTTTCGACCTCCGATCCCTCTCCATATCCCCACTCCCTTTCGGTCTCCTTTCCCTGTCCATATCCCCACTTCCTTTCTTTCTCCCCAACCTCTCCCCCTCCTTCCTTCCTCCCTGCCCCTCACTCTCAGGAGTCCCCCTCTCATCCCCACCCACAGCACCCATCGATCCGGCCCGTCTAAACAAATCGTTCGGCCCTCCTTTGGCGTTTTGGGACGGCGAATTCTGAGACAATGGAGAAGTCTCAACAGAGGATTGACTCTTGCCGGCCTGCCTCCCTCCCTTGGGAGTGCTGGCACCGCTCCTTGACTTTCCACCAGCCGACCTTTTCGAACCATTCAGATTCTTCTCCTCATCACTATCATCTTCCTCCATCCTCCTCTGTATCCTCCCGAAGGCCCTACCCTCACGCCTATCACCCTTTTGAGTCAACTCAGAAGATTCTTTCTCCTTATCACAACCAGCACCATCACCAGCACCATCATCCTCCTCATCATCCATCCTCCTCTGCAGTCCTCCAGAAGCCCTATCCTCACGCAGTCTATCCCCCTTGCCGGACCCAGCGTTCTTCCCCTGCCTTCCCTCGCCAACAACCACTCCCTCATTCCCTCCATCCTTCGTAAACTCCCGAGGACTGCTCCTACCTCCACCGCTCTCAACCCCTCTTCTGTCACCCTCTTTACCATTCTCGCCCATAATCACCCCAGTCGTCTCCCCTCTCTCGTCCTCATCCTCCATCCTCCTCTCCAGCCTCTCTCCCTCTCTCTTGCTCCCTTGCCTACCCGCACCAACAGGTGAAACTTCTTTCCCCACAGCCGTTGGCGAGCCTGCTTTTCCCGAGCCTGTGCCCGAACCTGTCTTCCGCACCTCCTTGCCCTTCTCTTCTTTCCCGTTCACCCGCCTTCCCTCCCGTTTCCTCCCACCTTCTTCCTCCTTCTCTTCCTCACTGTCGTCGTCTAGGCTCCTCTGAAGCTTCCCTCCTTTCTTGGCCGCCTTAGTAGGAACAACAGGCACTGGAACGCTCACACCAGCTCCTGACACACCCGCCTTCGCCCTTACACCCTCCTCCTCGTCCTCCTCCTCTTCCATCTGCCTCTGAAGCCTCCCTCCTTTCTTGCCCGCCTTCTGCCTCACACCTTCCTCCTCTTCCTCCTCCTCTTCCATCTGCCTCTGCAACCTTCCTCCTTTCTTGCCCGCCTTTGCCCTCACACCTTCCCCCTCTTCCTTCTCATCATCCATCTGCCGCTGCAGCCTCCCCTTGGGCGTCATAGGGGCGGTCACGCCCCCCCGCTTACCAACACCAGAGCCCGATCTTCCCAAATCACCCGCCCCCGCTCCTCTCCCATTCCCCCTCTCCCCGTCCCCCTCCTCCTCATCGTCACTCATCTGCCGCTGCAGCCGTCCTCCAGGAGTAATAGCAGCTCTCACAGAGGGTCCAGTCGACTGGCCAGTTAATGCTGCAGCGCCTGCCCTCCTGCCAGGCGGCACTAGCTGCAGCTGAGGCTCCTCCTGAAGAACCAGTGGTGGTAGGTTCAGGGGTGCCACTCTCCCCGATCCTCCTACTCCTTTCCCTCCCACTCCAGCCGTTCCCCCCCCTGCTCCTGCTACCCCTCCTCCTGCTCCTCCTCCTTTCCCTCCCCAAGTACCAGTGGAGCTTCGCTGGACTGTTGGTGTCTTGGGCTGCTGCTGCTGCTGCTGCTGTGGCCCTCTGAAGGACTGTGCTGCGAAACCTTTCAACGGCTGCGATGCGGTGGGTGTTTTGGGCGGAACAAGCCCAGTAGTCGCTGCTCTGGAAAACGTGTTTGCGCGCGCGGGAAACGCAGCACCAACAGCATCAGGAGCAGAAGCAACCCCAGCGCCTGAAGAGGCAGCACCACCACCAGCAGCAGCAGCAGCAGCAGCAGCAGCGGCGGCGGGTACCCAGGGGGAATAAGCAGGAGAAACTTTTGCAAAGGTTGGTGCCTTGGGTGTTCTGGGTGGAACAGCATTGCTGCCGCTGGCGCCTTTGCTGCTGCCGTTGCCGGTGCTGGCGGCATTGCTGCTGCTATTGCTGCTACTGGTGCCACCACCACTCGGTGCAGAGCGGTTCATGGTGAATATCCTACCCAATGAAGCACCTTTCGGGGTCTTAGGCGCAGCACCGCTTCCCCCTGAGCCCCCATCTCCGCCTTCACCTTCCCGCTTCCCCGCCCCTCCTCCTGCTTCCCCTCCCTCGCCTTCCTTTTCCTCCTCCTCCTCCTGCGCTTTTAGCAACGCCTGCTGCTCCTTCCACCTTTCTGTTTGCTTCTCAAACGCCCCTAGAGCCTTGGCGACGGAAGCAAGGGAGTTGAGCCGCTTATTGGCCCCAACCTTACGCCCAGATGCGCCTAGGCTTCCCCTCCCTCCTCCATTTGCTACACTGCTACCGTCTGCGACAGCAGTTGCTGCCGCAGCTTCTGTTGTTGCTGCGTCTCCTGCTGGCCCTGCCCCTCCTGCTCCGCGCCCCTTCCCCTTCCCCCTCTCCATACTCAGTTGAGGCTGCCCCAGCATTGGTTTGGACCCAATGGGCGCTGCGTTGCCGAAGCTCTTCTGAGGGACGACATTCGGCATGTTCCGTCTGCTGCCTTGCTGATGTAGGGGTGGCACTGGCAACGGCGGTTGCTGCTGCTGCTGCTGCTGCTGATGTTGCGGCTGCTGCTGCTGATGCTGATGCTGCTGCTGTTGCTGCTTTGGGTTGAAAGAACCAAGACGAGCAGCAGCAGCAGCAGCAGCATAAGCACCCACTCCCTCCATGCACCTTCGACTCTCCCCTCCTCTGTTCGCCCCCTCCCCTCCCCTGTTCACCCCGGAATACACCATCACAGGCACAGAACTGCCGCCGCTGCTGCTTCTGCTACACGGCACATTCACATTCACCCCGCTCCCACGAAAGCTGTCCGAATTCCCGTATCCGGCTGTAGCAGCAGCACGCCCAGCCGGCCCCATACCTGCCGCAGCGTTCCCGCCGGCTGTAGCAGCGGCTTCAGCCGGCAGCACATCAGAGAGGTCAGACACTGTGCGGCGGTGCAGGCGTTGCTTCGCGGTGCCAACTGGGGAAGGCGATATCCAGTCCGCCACATCCGCCCCTGGACGCTGGCCCCCAAATGACGGGTGGGGGGCGGGTGCTCCTCGGGGAGGTGGTACCCAGGCTGCTACATCCGCGCCTCCAGCCGCTACAGCCTCTGTAAATCGGCCGTTCGGACTCCTCTCCGCACCATAGTTTGCAGCAGCGGCAGCGCCGGCGGCGGCGGCGGAGGGTGTGTAAGCTTTGTGATGAGGCGGCGGGAGGGGGGACCTTGGCAGGTCGCACGGGCTCTCTGCTGCGTGACCGGACGTCATGATGACGTCAGAAACGTCGGAGAACGTGCGGCGATGGCTTTGGCCACGCTGCTGGTGGTGGTGCTGCTGCTGCTGATGCTGCTGGTGGTGGTGGTGCTGCTGCTGCTGCTGCTGCTGCTGTTGCTGCTGCTGCTGCTGCCACGATTGCTGCTGATGTTGCTGTTCCCACAGCTGCTGCTGGCGCTGCTGCGTTTGATAGAACTCTACCTCCTGTTGCTGCGCCGGATAACCTTCAGTCATCCACTCGCCGTCATCCTGCTGCTCACGCATCGCCAGCTGCTCCTGACGAAACATATTCTGCCCCTGGGCCTGAACCTGATCACCAACCTGAGCCTGCGGACTGTAGTGATGCTCCTTATAACGAGGATCCCCATGATGCCCGTGGTGATGCGCAACGAACCCCGCCGACTCAGCGCCGCGCGCGTAAGGCGGAGGCGCCACGAGCTGCTGGAGGCGCCCTCGCGCTGTGTGGCACGCCCGTAGCTCTGCGGCGTGGGGAGATCCGGGGTCGGAACCAAGAGGTTCGGCATGATGAGGTATGGCAAGGGTACGGGGAGTATGGGTGAAACCAAACCGCAGGGACGGCAAGAGACAACGGATGTAATGAAATCTTGAAGGATGTAACGGGATCTAGTAATGGCACTGTATCCTTTGAATCGAAAGGTTCAGTTCGGTTAAAAGCAATCGGACTAAAAAGGCGGTCCCAGGTTCTTGCCAGCAGCCAGTTCGCAAAAAGAAATGAAGTGTTGCTGCTCGCAACGGTCTCAAAACCCGCTCTTCTCGGAAAGAATCTGTTGCATGCGACCGACCCACTTCGGCAAAATCGCGGGTCATCACGATTCAGAAAGCGATCGATTGAGGTGCCTAAAAAATGTCATCAAAAAGTAATCGTGCCGAATAGGTTAGAGGGGAGTGGATGGGTTACGCCTTGGTTGGAGATACCAAGCAACCCTTACTTCGCTACAGTGTACATATTCTACAGATGCCAAACTCTAATTCTCCTCGCCAGAAAGAGTTGCTCACTACCAGGAATTTATACGCGTTAGTAGCTCACCAGGATACAAGTCATCGTCGTTGTCCCCCTCATCGCCTGCCGTATTGCCAGCGCCCATCGTCGTCCCCGACAAGCCTCGCTCCGCCGATTTTTCCGACGACGCCGTGCGCGAAACGTGAAGCAGCGGCAGGGTCCTCGCTCGATTTAAGCACAGATCGGCCTCGTCCTCCTCTCCCGCCTCCTCGTTGCCCTCAGCTTCGCCCTCCTCTTCTTCATCCCACTCCTCTTCCTCCTCCTCCTCCTCCTCCTCCTCCTCCTCCTCCTCCTCCTCCTCCTCCTCCTCCTCCTCCTCCTCCTCCTCCTCCTCCTCCTCCTCCTCCTCCTCCTCCTCCTCCTCGCCTTCCTCCTCGCATTCCTCCTCGCATTCCTCCTCATCCTCCCCTCCTTCGGCCATCATCGCATCCCAGCGGCTGCCCGCCGCATCCTGCATGGCGACATGATCTGCGACATCTGCGACGCCGTCCCACTGCTGCGACGCTCCCTCTGCGACAAAGGCCCCATCCGCCACGTCGCAAAAAGCCGCTCCTGCTACGTGAGCGCCTGACACGCCGCCGCCGATGCGCGCCGTCAACGCGTCGTCGTCTCTAGAATCGTAGTCGAGACGCGCGTCGAATGATCGCCTGCCCTTGCGGGTGGTCATCTCCGCTCTTCCCGCCGCTCTTCCCGCCGCTAAGTTCGTCGGCTCGGGTTCAAAATATCCACCGCGTCTCGCGGGAGTCGCGAGCTCGGGTGTCGTCGCGGAGCGGTTGAGCGCGCCGAGGCCCTCGTACGGCGCTCCCGCTCCCGCAATGAGCGGAGGCAGTGACGCTGATTCTTGAGTCGACTCGTAAATCGCCTCCGCGTACGGCGCTTCCGTGGGAAACGGAGGGAGCGACGACGCGCCGTCGTCGTAATCGTCGTCGTCGGCCACTGAGATCGCCCACGCACTTCCGTCGCCGGTTTCGACGAAATGGGGCACTCCAAGCCCCGGGGCGCGGGTCTCGGGGATCGGACCCTCGTTCGTTTCCCCCCAGAGGTCGCCAGCGTGCGCCATTTCCCACGGGTCTGAATCCGGGGGAAGATTCTGAGACGGTACTGCTAGGTATCTGCCGCTTCCGCCGTTCCTGTCGCCCCCGCCGATCCCGCCGATCCCGCCGTACTGATCGCCGAAGCTGTTCTGCTGCGAATGCGGCGGCATGGTCGAAAAGTGGTCCCGCTGGGTGCCATCCCGCCGAGGCGCGGGATGGTCGGGAACGAATTCCATCGTATGATGCGGCGGCCTTTGCGGAGGCCGCCATACATCTGCAGTCGCACCTAAGACAGCACCGGCGCGCCGCGACGACATCGAAGAGCTATCGTCTGACGAAATGGCCCGGAACGAGAGGGTACAATTGGTAGGGTCGATCAAGGCACAGAGATTCTCCTGCGATCCCGTCGTTATTAGTGAATCAAGCGGGGAGTCAGGCGATTCGACAAAATCCCACCGCCACGGTTGGGATGCTGCTTTGGAGATCCTAGACTTGCCGGAGGGATATGATTCTACGAGAGGAATCGAGGTGTTGAGATATTGAGGGATTGAGGTATTGCTGGGATGCTGGTGGGAGGATGATGTCGCAGATTTACGACGGCTCGTCATTCGCAATGTGCAAGAGGAGGAAGAGGCAGCTGGAGCTCCAGCTCTTAGAATGTGCTAGGACGGCACACCTTGGTGGCGTCGGAAAAAATGCTGTTGTGTTGAAAAATGCTTCTGAGTGGTCACGTACTCCTGAACTATTCGAAATGTATTCGGCGTTACTAATGACGACCGAAGATCTCGCCTCCTCCGCAGCGAGGTTTACAACCTTTATATCCAAGAATCAATCCAGCAGGAGCTGTGATGGAAGAAAACGCGTTTTCGACAACCTACATGTAGTTCAACCTACTTGTTATGGAGGAACAACAGCTGAACATGACTCTCAAACACGGAGTTCGGGGGTGAGAGGAATGTAGCGGCTCCGCGTTCAAAAACGTGTTTCCTCGAGGCGACGGAGTTTTCGGGGCGACCAAGCTCTGGGTTCCAGGAGCTATTGAGACGACAAAGCTCTAGGGGAGCGGCCGACGACGAAGCTCTCGAGGTGACGAAGTTTTCTAGGCGATTCCCTCGGTTACTTCTGCCTTGTTGGTGGTACCCCCATTGAACAAATGAGCTGCTGCTTGTGCTCGTTTGGAATCTTGCACATGTATCTCGTTTCAAGTTTCCCATTTAGGGTGCTTGAATATATATCCGTCAAAAGAGCTTGATTTCTTTTCGAGTTGAGTAGAGAGAAGCCGAGTTGAGTAGAGAAGCCACAGGGAGGAAAGGGAGGGGAGAGATGGACAGATGATCTGCTTCGTGGAACCAATAGCTGAGGCAACAGGCTCCACACCCAGAATACAAGAAGCGGTTTATGAAAGCTCTGGGAAGAGAAATCTTGAGATTAAAACGCTTTTGAAGGAAGGAATGTTCTATAGCCTGAGAAGTTATGGATATACGATGAAAATATTCTCAAAAGACTACTACGAACACACTTCACCGTGCTTTATTTTTTACGAGTCCTGAACTTGGTGCGTGTGAGATCTGACAAACACGACAGATTCGACCATAGGGACTCCAACAGACAATACAATTCCACGCGGATTTACCTCGACTTTCCAACAAATTGCTATTATAAATGAAGTACCCTGCATAATACCTTACAGACCAGAGTTGACATTTCTCTAAAATGTATTCTCTCAAGGATCAACTCTAGGATTAGCGCCACTGAGGAATCTTGCTGTGAGTTCCTCACGCATGTTTGTGTGCAATTTTCGAGAAGGGGAGAGGGCAGGCGTAGGAGGCGTGGTAGGGTGCCTCTTAACTCCACACTAGTCTGAGTAGGATGTTTTTATGACTTGCCTGCGCTCCGGCTGAGTGGCGAGCGCCAGAAACGAGAGAACAACTCTGCAACTGGAAAATCGCGATCGCTCGAAAGGTCCAGCTCACAACCTTGGGTGGAAAGTTTTGCGATAACCATCTGAACTGTACAACGTTTTGGCATAATGACACGCAAATTGTTGACAGTTTCTTTCTGTTCCGCAGTAAATTGATGTGGAGCATTGTCGATGTGTGACCGATGCGAGATCGAAGCGACAAGCATCTGAGGTTGCCCAGTGGTCTTGCCAGTTGAGGCAATGGTGTCCATAAATTGCTGTTGCAGTACACTGTTCATGTTGTTAACTGAAACCTCTGGGAACCTTGTTACACATGATGCCCAGCCCCTGCACGCGAATTTGCCCTGCACCGGATGGAAACCTTGCACCCGAGGTTTATTCCCCAGCCAGTTGCACGCACGTTACAAACACGTCGCGCAAGTTGCAGTGGCTCTGAACCAATAATAACGAACGGACCGAAGTCAAACTGAAGAGACTGAAGTCAAAATGTCAACGGATAAGTTACAAAGCTTTTATAAGCACCTGGCGAATCCTTTTTTGCTAGCTGCGAATTGACAAAACTTATGCGAAATGCACGTGACAGCTTATGCGCCCCTGTAAGGATTTTTCCCAATTCCTTACTGAGTCACACTGTACGCGTACAGCCCCAACTTTCGGAGTTCCAGGCTCGGTCCGCTGACCTCGCTCGCCGAACCATCAACGCGTCGCCTTCGGGTCTTCCCAACCCCGAACCTGCTCCGGACCTTTCGCGGTCCCGCAACCTCGGCCTAGCTAGTTCTCGCTATATAAGTGCTAGGCTTCATTATTCAGTCAGTAGTTGTTATCACTTCCGCGTTATTGAATTCTGCGCACTCTTCTTCATTACAACTCATAACACTTGGTATCAGAGCTACTTTCCTAGGTTACCCTCGCGTTTCCGGGGTAGTTTGTGTAAGGGGAGCGATAGACTTAGTGGGTTGCAAAGCAGTCGGCCTGTGAAATAGATACGATTATTTCACTCCGACTACGATAGCGTTTGCGCCTTCACTAAAAGTCATAAAAATCGCTAACCACCCCCTGCCCGTCCGACGAAGCCTGCGAAATATGGACCAGGCGGGGTTGAACTAGTTTATGCAACAGTTCCGGGCGATGCAGGCCAACATGCAGACGATGTCTGAGGAGGTTGATCGCCTGAAGAAGGAAAACGCCGAACTACACCAGGCGCGTGGTGAAGCGCGTCAGGAGTCGCTCATCGTGGACGAAGCAAGTAGTAGCTCCACGCCGAACGAGGCCGTCTTCAGTGAGCTCGAAGGCTCCATGGATGCTGCAGAAGAAGGGCGGGCACAACAGCAACAGTCGCCAGCAGTGCCAACACGTGCACCAGCGACATCAGCGGCAGCAACAGCTCCAGCGACTATGACAGCCTCAACAACTGTCAAAATCAAACCAACAAACCCACCACCATTCAACCCGAGTGACAAGTTTGTCACTGTTTCTGCATGGTTGTTTGGCGCGGAGTTGTTTTTTAATGCTGCGGTGATTAACGACGATGCCACCCGCATTAATTTTGCAGTTTCACTGTTACGAGGACCTGCGTTGGAATGGTGGCGACGCACGCTTCAAACCGAGGGGACTTCGGCAGGGACAACGCGTGCGAACGACGGGACCTCGACACCTGTCACGCAACGAGCAGCTTCAATCTTCGGAACGGCCACGATACGCACATGGAAGGAGTGGGGCGCCGCCTTGCGAGCCAGGTTCGAGCACATCTCCGCCTCGGATTCTGCCCGCATGAAGCTGCGTGCCTGGAAGCAGCTGACTTCGGTCCAAGACTACACCATCGCGTTCTGCAACTTGGCTGACCAAGTGGACGATATGAGCGACGCGGAGCGGATGGACCGTTACGTGGCGGGCATGAAATACGAAATTCAATATGAGGTCCGACGAACGCGGCCATGCAGCTTTAACGACGCTGTCCGGGAAGCCGAGTCAACGGATGCACTGATGCAGTGGGCGAGATCGAGCTCCCGGGAGGGCCCTCGATTTCGTGGATCGACGCAGCAGCCCACGATCAACGGCGTGGATGCGCCAAGCCGACCCATCGGGCCGTGCTTTGCATGCAACCAGCTGGGCCACCTGAAAAGAGACTGCCCGAAGCTGAAGCAGGGGAAAAGGAACGACGGAGAAGGGTCGGGAAAAGATACGAGTCAGTAGCAGACGGGCGCCCTGCTGACGAGACCCTGTCGCCCGACAATCACCATCCACACCGAGTTGTGGTACCGATCCGAGCAATCGACCGCAATCGGACGAATAACGTGGGTGAACACGTGGACCACCCTGTGCTGGCAGTAGGGAGGGTTAACGGCCATAAAATAAAAATATTTGTTGACGGTGGGGCTAGTCACAGCCTCATCAACCTGTCAACAGCCAAAAAATTTGGAGTCAAGCTGGACAGATGTCTGCCGGAGATTGACGCACGGCTAGTGGACGGAACACCGCTGGCGATCCGAGATGAAGCGCGACAAGTTCGGATGAAATGTGGCGACAATTTCGGGTTCGGCATGAAGATGCTGGCGACAACATTGGACGGTTGCGATGTGCTGCTGGGACGAGACTGGCTGCAACGATTCAATCCAACGATCGACTGGACAACGGGGGCATGCACTGTGCGAGGAAATACAGGGCACACAACACTTCCGACATGGACGGACCCGGAGCCTGTGACAACACGTGTCAACGCCGTCACCATGCGGCGAGCGATCAACAAGGGGGCCAGAGGCTATGCTGTACACTTGTACGAGGTAGCAGCCACCGAAAAAATCGCCGACATCGACAAGCTCTGCGAGGCAGTCCCTGCGGAACTGGCAGGCATCATCAGGAAGTATCCCGAAATTTTCGCGGATGACCTACCCGATGGCTTGCCACCTCAGCGACCAGAAGATCACAAGATACAGCTGGAACCCGGCGCGCAACCCACTGTTCGAACACAGTGGCGACTCAGCCAACCGGAGCTCGACGAGTTGAGGAGCCAGCTGGATTACCTCCTCGCTAAGGGATTTATCCGGCCAAGCACGTCACCATTCGCAGCGCCAATACTGTTCACGCCGAAGAAGGACGGAGGACTACGCATGTGTATTGATTACCGGGCGCTGAATCGGGTCACGATAAAGTCGCGTTACCCGATCCCGCGAGCGGACGACCTGCTGGACCAACTTCGCGGGTCTCGCTATTTCTCGAAAATCGACCTGCGAGGAGGCTACCACCAAATTC